TGTAAATATCAAATTTAGGTTTTTAAATTTTATAATTTATTTTATTTATTTTATGTGTCCCCTATTAGTAGAGGGTTTTTTATCCTCGGCTAGAATGTGTTTGACACATTAATAAAGCTATTGATTGATTGATGTTACTTATTCAGAGCAAAAACAACGTATTCAACTCTGGCACGGCCTTAGCTTCCAGTTCCACTTCCGTCTGAATCTTCTGTCAGTTCTGATCCCTTGACAGCGGCTCTCACCAAGAATGATATGTCATTGGGCAGTTGAGGTCATGTGACATTAGAATTTGGCGGGGAATACGCACGCCATCTTGTTCGCTCTGATTGTCAGCTTGAGTTCGCCACGAGGGAAAATAATTTTCACTTTTTGTCATGTCTGGATCGCCGAAAGAAAATGGTACGGATATAGAGGTGATCTCGCTACGGTTTTGCGAAATTTATGGCTTGAGTTTTGTTTTGTTTTTCTTTAAGAACCTTTCGACGACGCTGTCGAAGAAAGGATTATCAATGAAGAATACAAAATCTGGAAAAAGAATACACCGTTTTTGTACGATTTGGTGATGACCCATGCACTGGAATGGCCAAGCCTGACTGTACAATGGCTACCTGACGTTACAAAGTAAGTGCATGCAAATTTTAAACTGCTCGTGTTTGGAGCAGCTTGGATCGATCGAATAGCTTTCAATTTGATCACCACGTCACTCTACAGGGCACTGTACAACTGTACTTGTGAGGTAAGTTAAGGCTTTTTTGTACTGAAGAACTGGAAGGTTTTTTTGCCGATTTATATTTTTTGGGGATTTTCTAGCCTATTTGATGTGGCATCAACGCTGAAAATTATGGATACTGGTAGTAAAAACCCTGCACTCAAGTCGGGTTACTATAGTACTGTACAATTAGCGGAAAATGAGTCAAAATTCGAGTTTATTTGCAACTGGATGATTTATTCAAAAATAAAGAACTTTGAGACATAACGCTACCTATGTTTTCGTGTAATAAAAGAATACAGGTCTTAATCTTTCGCAAGTTTACACTTCTGGTTAAAAATCCTAGTTTTAATGTAGAGCAGCAGTATTTTAAAAAACCTAAGTTGCTGTTCTATGCTGGAGTGTCATTGTTTTTCTCTCACAGGCCAGAAGGAAAAGATTATTCTGTACATAGAATCATTCTTGGGACACACACGTATGTTAACCCACTGTTGTTGTCTTAGTATAATAACTAAGGTGATTATCATTGATTGCATAGATGACTAAAGATTCCTGGAATTGGACATTCCATTTTTTTTATCTGCACGCCCACCCCAGATTTCGACAGCCTAGCTTTTTTTGTTTTTGCCACCTTTGAAGTTTGTATCCCAGGGGTTCAAAATTTTGTGGGCTCCTTTGAAAAATGTTTTGGGCTTACCCTATGTTAGAGATTGCTCTTCATAGGGGGGGGGGGTGAAACAACAACAAAAACAAAACACCAAAAACTTTAATTACACCCCAGAGCTAGAGATCATTTAACTAGAATGCCCCAATGCTGGAGACTTGATGTTGACCCCTGGATACCATAACTGAAGGAGAATTTTTTGGGGGGTGCTTTTTAAAAACAGTGTAACTTTAATGCAATATTTATAGTTGCTGTCTTTATAAATGGTTTTTAGGTCTGATGAACAGAATCACTTAGTGATAGCAAGTGTTCAGGTTCCCAATGATGATGCCCAGCTCGACACAAGCCACTATGACAGTGAAAAAGGAGGTACTCTGAGATTACTGTTATACAAATTTGGTATAATTAGTTGATCTTGGCGTGGGGGATTTTACAATAACTGGGAGGGATTTGAAGAAGTTGCTGATGATACCATTCTTTGTATATGCATTGTGGGTTTAAAACAAAGCCTTTGAAAGAGTTTTGCAGTGTTTGAAGGCAAATGTTAATTCTCGCTTCTGTAAATTTTGTTGCATTTCTTGGCACAGTAGAAGCAGAAAGTAGGTGTTTGAAGCTGACTTTTGTTCTTTTTCACTACTTACTTTTCACCTGTATGTCCAGGGGTTTGGGGCATTTGATCACATAGTAAAGTGGGTGATTTGAACACCATTTTTACCCAGGGGGATGGGAATTTTACCAACTGAAAATTCAAAGTATCTAATATCCCGGGGGATTGCCCCAGGAAGTGGAAGTTAAAGTTTCAAACTGACTGATACTTTACTTCTAAATTGTGTTGCCCTTTTTCAAATCGGAAGTTGGTTTTGATTACACTTGATCAATACTAATGATTATTTGGGTATGAAGCTGACTTATTAACTGTCAAACATGGCCTTTTACACTATGTGGATACCTCATTGTTTTTTGTTTTGTTTTGTTTTCCAGAGTTTGGAGGGTTTGGCTCAGTGAGTGGAAAAATAGAAATCGAAATTAAGATTAACCATGAAGGTGAAGTTAACAGGTAAAACATTTAATCCAGCCAGCTTAATTTTTACTCTTTTATTCTACGTTGTAATCTTTATTGTCGTTCAACTACATTCGTGAAAATTAAATGTAAACTTAAACTGTAGAAATTAAGTCAAAGATGTCTTGTTCAAGTTTGTTCTTTCATATATTGCAGAGCTCGGTATATGCCACAAAATCCATGTATGATTGCAACAAAGACCCCAACAGCAGATGTACTTGTTTTTGACTATACCAAGCACCCTTCCAAGCCAGGTGTCTGTTCTTGTTGTTATAAACTAATTGAAGGGGTGGGTGGAAAAAAGCCCAAAGTGACTCTTGAAAAGCCCCAATGGGGAGTGACCAATTAAGAATACATCACACATTACATTATACATCTCATGTCAAATTCTCATTTTCTGAACAAGGTAGTGAAAAGCAATTTGCTAGGAGAATCCTGCAGTCTATCAGATGTCACTTAGGGTCTTTTTCCATGCAACCCTTCAATTGATATATTGAGGAGTAAATACCACATTATACTGGTGTCTAGTTGGAAGACAGTATTATACTTCATGTTGCATGTTGCATGGGCAGAACCACAGTCTTACTCTTTTATGACATACTATTAACAAAAACAATCACATCAATTTTGTGGGTTGGTGGGTTAAACCATTTGCCAGTCAGGGTGTCAGTTGGTCTGTAGTCAGTCAGACCATCAGTCAGTCGGCCAGCCAGTCAGTCAGTCCATAATCAGGTAGTCAGTCAGTCAGTCAGTCAGTCAGTTAGCCCAATTGTGGTTCCGACTGTCCAGTCGACAATTTTTAAGTCAGTCAATCAAGTCTTAACTGCACTTCTGTCATTCAACTCCTTGGTAACTGCATCTATACCAAATGTATTTTAAGATATTGTTCATGTTGTACAACTGTGTATTATCTTTGTTGTTTCTCACATTTTGGATTATTTACTTGCTAGATCCTAATGGTGAATGCCGTCCTGATATCCGACTCAAGGGTCACACTAAGGAAGGCTATGGCTTGTCTTGGAATCCAAATCAGAATGGCAATCTTTTGAGTGCTTCAGATGACTATGTAAGTCACAATTGATAGGTTATGCCGCACAGTGTAACTCCATGTGCTAACTAGCTAATGTATAAGAACACTTATGATCAGTGGATTGCAACAGATTGCTACACGTCAGGTAATGGTTGGGAAAAAAACAAGGTCAGGGAAATGTCGGGGAATTCTATTTTGAGTCAGGGAAAAATTGACATTTTGAAGGAAATTCAGGGAAATTGAAATAATTTAATACAGCTGATTTAGTACCATTGAAGGCTGGAAGAAACATCAGGGGTCACTGTGTTCCCTTAATGGAGAAGGAATATTTGTTGAAGACTTAAGCCTTAATAATTTTTATGATTGTTTAGGTGAAAAGGACAACTGTAAGAGGAAGCTAGGAGGAAAATTTTATTTTTGTCAGGGAAAAGTCAGGGAATTTTGAAAAGTGATATCTGTGGCTACCATGTATAGTAATTCAGCTTGTTTCTTCAACAGACTGTGTGTCTCTGGGATATCAGCAGCATTGCAAAGGTACAAAACATAAACACTTAAGGACGTTCATGTAACATGTGCACAGTGGTTTTTTTGTGAACAAGAAGATTATGTTCAATTCTTGTTTTTTGATATTGATATTTTACATGTAACTCATTTTTGCTGACAGAAATCCTTTTCTTTGTTGAGCCAGGAAGCCAAAACACTGGATGCAGCACGGATATTCACTGGGCACACAGCAGTTGTTGAGGTATCTCAATATGTACTGTAT